TATTCCACAGAAATGAAGGAGGAATCTATAAAGAAACACCAATACCCAGATGGTGAAGTCTGGAAGAAACTCCTCACGGCTCAAGGGAATTAAGGGTTCGGCCCTCACACCCACTTCTTTTTTAAGTGAAAAGGCTTAGAATTTCTTGGGTCTGGTTTTAGGAAAATAGGGAAAGAAAATCATCTACCATTGAAAACAAATTCAGCTGAAAGTCATATTAACCTCAAGAATCAGCACAGTAATTATTATTACTTAATTCTTTTAGCAAATAAACATACTCTCCTACTTAGGCCTTAAACAAATTTAAATGTAACTAGCTCAAAGTATAAGATGTTCTTATAGACCAAGATGGCGGCATAGGTAAACACAGGAGACTGCTGCCGCAAACAACCACCTGTGCCCCACCACAAGATAAACGCTGTCTTCTATTCAACAATAAGTCCTTTTCAAGGCATAATAAATTTTAATTAGCCATCCCAAACAAAATTTTTAATTTCAATTAAGTCTGGGTCATTAAGTTGACATTGGTCATCACTTAGCATTCATTAGAGCAAGGATCTGAGGTGAGAAAGCATGCTTTCTCCCATAAGAAAGGGAGGAAGTCTTTTCAAGTTGTATACACATTATACATGGCTCAAAGACACATTATAGATCTGGGAGGGCAGAAAAGATCTGGGAGGGGTGCCTCTTGTTAAGAATTATTCCTTGAGTGAGTTACTCACATTTATTTCTGAGAGTGTGTAATCTATCTTAGAAAGTCCCATTCTAATAATACTAGTCTGGTTCTCATAAAAAATATGTTACGTGATGATAAATGCTATGAAGAAAAAGTGTTGGGCTCTGGTCAGTGTGGCTCAGTTGGTTGAGCATCCTCCCATGCACTGAAAGGTCACCAGTTTGATTCCTGGTCAGGGCACATTTGGGTTTGGGGCTGACTCCCTGGTAGAGGGTGTGCAGGAGGCAGCCGATTGACGTTTCCCTCTCACTTTCACATGGATGTTTCTCTCTCCCTCTCCCTCTTCCTTCCTCTGTCTCTGAAATCAATAAAAACATTTAAAAAAAGAAAGAAAGAAAGAAAAAGTGTTGGAAGGGGATATAATTTAAACAAGAGTTATCAAGAAAGGTTTCATGGAAGTAAAAAGATAAAAATGTTTTGCACCGTGAAAGACTCAAAAGAGTTGCGATTCTTTCTTCTACTTTGGCTTCCTATTGACTGGCTGTTGTAACAGCCAGCAGGGCAAGAACTGACAGTAAAGAGAAGCCACCTAACAAAGAGACAAAAACAGAAGCTTTCTTCTCACTCTCTGTCCTTATGAATACTGTGATAGCTCCCCAACCCTGTGGCTCTCAGAAGAACCTTACCCCAAAACAATCGAACACAGAGGTCACAAACTCAACGGCCAGGCAGATAATGCAAATGACTAAAGTAGACTATAGGTAATAAAAATATCTATGTTGAGGAGCTAAACACATGTCAGGGACTGAGAAGATTGGAGAGTATATATCATGTGTTAAAGGAATAACTTGTACTGTGGTCATGTAGACATAAGAACTCTGTGTCCTAGGTTTTCAAGAGAAACCAGACACCTAATTTTTTCTGTGAACTCTCAAATTTTGAAATTTTAATATTGAAATATGGCAACCAATTTGAAATTTTAAATCTCATCTGTGGTCTCCAGTATAGCTCCTCTGGTTTACAGGGTCAAGGAATGAGTTCTTCCAGGGCCGTAAGCAGTAGGCTACTTGATTAGCTGGACCAAGCTTGCTTGATATTGTCATTCAGTCCATATCTGAGCAACCATATGTTTTAGGATCCAGGATCTCTGAAATATACTTATAAGATTCAGAGCAAGCCATATGAATAAGATGCCACAAACCAAGATGAAATGATACTAGAAAGGTTATACCCAGGGAATATTCATTATTGCAGCATTCCTGATATGAACTTCCACATAGATATCCAAGATAAAGGAATAGACTTTCTACAGACAGACTGCTTGCCCTGCTTTCCCCTTACCTGTTTCTACTAGCTTATTACTATGCTTAATAGGATTTTTCAGAGGGGGTAGTTAGTACCTCTGTTGTGATTTCCTTTTCAGCCTTTACATTTGTAATGGACAACTTGTGTGCCCAGAAAGTTGGTTCTTAAGGTTTATCTAGTAACAGGCTTGGATGGTCTCTAAAGAAGAAAAATTTTTATAGAACATAGCTTAGGCTGTTAATTTTTGTTTACCTCCTTAGTGAGGACAAACTATTCCAGTGGGGGTAGGAGGTAGAAAGCATAGGCCCTAAAGATTACTTAAATCAGTATTCAGGACCTACCAGATACACTGACTACAGATTCAACACAATTTCAACCTTTCGAGTTTCCTACTGTATTCCTTTGCAAGAGGACCCTATTGAGAGTTTTCCCTTGGAGGGAACCTATCTCACTACTGAATCATCTCAATGATGGCCTCTGTCACCTAGTTTCAAGTTTCTTTAGACCTCCAAAAGGAACTGGCATTCTGGCAATCTCACATCACTTTTAACTTCCCTCTCCTAATGATAATCCTAGAAAGTCCTCCTTTGGTCAACTCTCGCGAATAAACTCTATCCCAGCAGAGCTGACAAGCCAGGAAGCCCATACACTCAGCTGTGACAAGAAACTCAGGGGACATTTTCAATTTTTGCCCAGGTGAGTTTACTTGACTTTCCAGGTGCAAAATACAGCTTTCTCTGCAAAGCAATAGTTTTATTAGGCTATGCTCAGTCGCCAAAAAGGGCCAATACTGCATTTTTTAAAACCTAGAAGTAGCTGGCAATATGTAAGAGTCCTCTCTTAGAACATTGGTCACTTACGGAGCTCTAAAAATAGGCAGAATACACTTTTCCTGGGAGGTTTAAAATATGAACTTAAAGGATTTAAAATACGCAGCCTCCCCTATTCCTGGATTTAAGCCTTTTATTTCTCCAGCTAATGGGGAGAAAAAGTAAACAAAGATTGTCTACTCTTACTTTTATAATCTTACGAGGATTGCTGCTGAATGGACTAGTCCAGTGGTCGGCAAACTCATTAGTCAACAGAGCCAAATATCAACAGTACAACGATTGAAATTTCTTTTGAGAGCCAAATTTTTTAAACTTAAACTATATAGGTAGGTACATTGTTATTAACTTAATTAGGGTACTCCTAAGCTAGCCTTTGCTAAAAACATCCTCAATCTGAGGGGTGGACCTCAGTGAACGTACCCCACTTCTTCTAACGCCACTTCTTCAAAATAGACTCGCCCAGGCCGAAAACCGACTTCTGCGCATGGGCCACGAAGTTTCAATCGCACTGTATGTGCACACCCGCACGTGGTATTTTGTGGAAGAGCCACATTCAAGGGGCCAAAGAGCCGCATGTGGCTCGCGAGCCGCGGTTTGCCGACCACTGAGCTAGACCCTAGTGCACAAAGCTTTGACTCCTTAAGAGTTTATTTTCATATCTAGAAACCAATGGCTTTTTAGTTAGTCAACACCAAATTCCCAAGGCCTGCAGGTCAGGGTTTGGGGCTGAAACTGCCCAACAAGGCCCCTCTAATGCCACCTTTTCCTCGCCAGCTGAGACCTTAAAATGTGCATTCCTTGTGCAAACAAAACAAATAAACTGGCACCAACGAGCAGGCTAGTCAGCTGACAAGGTATGAGTGCAGTTGTGTTATCTGGGCCATTTACCCTCAACAGGGTCGAGGTCAGGCCTCATTTTCAGAAGTTGAGCTATCAGAGGAAACTTGATTTGTGCACTAATCCTAGAAGTGGCCCTCTCCTCCATTTCAAACAACCAGAACATTTATTTTAAAAGTACTAATTCAGTTGCCTTTAGCTTAGATTTAAAAGCATATTTAGGAGCAGCAGAAATACATAAAACAAATGTGTTTTTTTGCTAAAAACAAAAGTGGTTGTTAACACTGTTTTTTGTTTGTTTGTTTTTGTCTCTTACAGGAAGCTGGTTATTCCACAGAAATGAAGGAGGAATCTATAAAGAAACACCAATACCCAGATGGTGAAGTCTGGAAGAAACTCCTCACGGCTCAAGGGAATTAAGGGTTCGGCCCTCACACCCACTTCTTTTTTAAGTGAAAAGGCTTAGAATTTCTTGGGTCTGGTTTTAGGAAAATAGGGAAAGAAAATCATCTACCATTGAAAACAAATTCAGCTGAAAGTCATATTAACCTCAAGAATCAGCACAGTAATTATTATTACTTAATTCTTTTAGCAAATAAACATACTCTCCTACTTAGGCCTTAAACAAATTTAAATGTAACTAGCTCAAAGTATAAGATTTCTATCAAGTGCTGGTACCCAGACATTAAACTGTACTTTGAAAATAAGCAGCATGTTGCACAACTTGTTGGCACAATTCCTTATTCTATTTAACATTTCATAAATTAGCAGAATAAAAATAGTTCTGCTGCACCGTGGGGTATCTGGTATGCAACAAAGATAAAGATTCCACTCATTAGCCCAAAGTGGTTTAGCATCTCTTTTCCAGCTCATTCTAAGCACATTACAGAATTTACACTGTACTGAACTATGGGCGAAAGGCTATTTCATAGTCTTTTTTTAAATAACCCTTTTTTAAAAAAAAACCTTTATCCTAAATAATTAAAAAAAAATGTTACTGATTTTTTAGCAAGTGAGGGAGAGGGAGAAACCTTGAGAGAGAAACATCGATCAGTTGCCTCCTGCACTGACCCCAACTGGGGATTGAACCCACAACCTGGGTATATGCCCTGACCAGAAACTGGCAACCTTTGGTGCACAGGATGACGCTCAACCGAGCCATACCAGGCAGGGCTATCCTAAATAATTTTAATGATAAAATGCAGCCAGAATTAGATAAATCATAGAAAAATTTAATAGTTTAGTCAGCATTTCTAAAATATATTCTAACCTCAGCAGCATCCAAACAAGAATATAGCATGTGTATTTAGACAGGAACTGTGCAGAATGGCAAGAGAGAAAGAAAACCCAGATGAATGCAGAACTCTTCTTTATTATAACAATATATAAAACAAACAACTTTAAATATTCATAACCACACCAACCATACATTATCATGACTGGTGTTATTCAGCTGGCTCAAATGTGAGGGAATAATTTACAATTCTTGAAATCATTAACCATACAAATGTGGGAGTGAAATGCATGTACATATTTTTAAAGTACATACGTTTTTACTGTCTTCACTTTATTCATCATCTCAGTATTTTCATACATCCTCATTCAGTTAAGGCATTTTATTACTAAGAGAGTCAGTACAGCTCTATTTGCCAGTGGTAACAGTCTTAAGTTAATGAGTAATAACTGACAGTTACCAACTGATTTTTGACCTACTTCCTTCTTTAGAACAAAAAGAATTTTCACCTAAGCATCCATTCCAACCCCTAAAGGCAGTATCCTTCAAACAACTTTAAAAGCACTCTAAACGGCCATTTCCATTTTAATAGTCGGATGAGGATTGTACCCCTCAATCTGAAAGTCTTCCGTCTTGAAGTCATCGATTGTCTCAACTTTTCGAAGGATTTTGAGCTTCGGGAAAGGCCTTGGTTCTCGCTGAAGCTACAAACAGCAGACCATTATTTTGCTATATCTGTACTACTGCTTTAATTCTGCTCCCCACATCCCTTCATGAGATAAACACACAGTATTTTATCAGCAAGTATTACTTTACAGGGGCTCAGTGATACTGTGGATACCTTTTCCCTGGTTATGCAATCCTGTTGGAACATAACTATTTCTTTCACATACATGGAGAGCGGAGGGTATTTTGTGGAATCATTTGGTGTCAGGAGCCTGGTGGCTCCCCAAGTGTAAGTTCTTATGATTGCTTGCTCCTGGTAAATTTATCAAGGACTGGACACAGTCTCTTACTGTTGTATCTGTAACTCATAATAGGCACTCAAAAATGGTTACCTGAATCCCACAATTCCTATTCCAACTACCCCTGGCAGAAAGGGCAAGGAAAGATGACATCTGTTGACAATGAACAGAAAGGGATGCAAGCCGGATTCCTGAGATGAACTGCGCCCATGAGGATGTGACAAAGGTCATGACCTCACTTTATTCTGGCCAGCATGACAGGAGCAGGGAGCTAGAGAAGCATCTGGATAAGCCTTGAAGCCACCCTCTAAGTCAACGCAGACACATTTCCTCCAAGGAGAAACTTTCAAAACCTGGACCTAATCTGGAAGGGCCTAAAGGTTTGGGGGTTGACATTTTTATTCTTGGGGCTCATTATGCAGACACATATTTTTTATTGCCATTTTCCAATCATCTTTTGGCTGCTATAATTTATGGACTTGAACTTATTTTTGAAAGTTCAGACCTAAGTACTGTATTTAGGATAAACTTAAGGGAAAATACTGAAATGCTACCTCTGGGAAGGTCCCAAATTCTCTGGTCTGCATGTGGCTTAGTCCCCCACAGCCACTGTCACACCTGTGGTAGCTGAGGCGTGTGTCTTCTCTGTCTCCACCCACCTGCCCACCATCCAAGCTCTGCAGTCAGAACCGGTCACCTTATCTGTCACAGCACCAGGAAGAATGCCTATTATAATAGGGATGTTCTACAAACCAACCTTTTAGCAAGAGGAGGGACCAACCTTCAAAGTGCAACAGATGGAATTCTTACCTGCATTTTTAGCGGCTCAATATGATTCAAGTAGATGTGTGCATCTCCCAACGTGTGCACGAAGTCACCTGGCTGAGTGCATGGGAGGAAGCAAAACAGGAAGTGTTTTAGTTTTAATCCCTCTTCAACACATCCCTTAAAAACACATTATGCAGAGTATGCAGATATCGCAAAGCTTTTCAGAACATAAAGATAACCAGTGTTGCTTTTAAGAAAAAAGTTAATTTAGAAAAGTTACCTTATATTATAAACAAGCTATATAAACTTGTTCATACAGACCACAAGGATGGGAAAGTTCCAGGGAGAGTTACAAAATGAGCCAGTTCATTTTTTTTTCCTACCTATTTTTCATTTTGCTTTTTCCCTCGTTTTTTGTTGGTTTCTTTAAAAAAAAGTTTTCTTTTTCTAGTTGATTTTCTATTTATATATGTTTTAAGTTCACAGTTGAGTCAGTTCATTTCTTATTTGAGAATTCTGTGCAATTAGTTTTTTTCATGTTAAAGAACCTAAGAGTTCAGCTCTTTAGGCCAGCAACAATTGCTCCTTCCTAAGAGCAGCCCACCTTCAGGCCGGTGATGTGTGCGATCATGTAGGTGAGCAGGGCGTAGCTGGCGATGTTGAAGGGCACACCTAGCCCCATGTCTGCTGACCTCTGGTACAGCTGGCAGGACAGCTCACCGTTCACCACGTAGAACTGGCAGAGGGCATGGCACGGAGGCAGGGCCATCGAAGGAAGATCTGAGGAGCCAGCACAGAGGAATATAAGCGGGGGGTAGGGGGGGTAAAAGAACACAACTATAGGCAAAGTAAAACAGGAGCGAAACACAAGCCAACTCGTAAGTTGGAGGTCATGTGACCCCCATGACCCATACCTCCCCTCATGGCAGAAGCAAACCATTCCAATCACGGGGATGGCACAAACCGGACAGAGACCTGTCCATTAACAGGTCTTCTGTGATGTACATTTACAATGGAAGCAGCAATGCTCTCCCATACGAGCTGAAATTATTTGTGCTACCTTCACAGAAAGAATGAGTTCATTTGTAGGGACCACAGGAGACTAGCGTCTCAGACACACCCTCCTGTGTTCCACGTCTCTATTATAAATGTAAATCTTCCGCTCTGGGTCTTTATTACACATTGGTAAAGTTTAATTTTATAATACTGTTGGTACACATATTAATAATATCAAGGTAGAAGGGAACAGAGACTTCTGCCCCAATTTAAAATGTTAAAATCTTACATGTATTTTTATAGGCCATTTAAAGCCTTTTTTTAAAGTAAGAATAAGTATAAATATACAAATTAAGGTGATCTGGATCCAATTCCATCCTCTGAAGGTGAAAATGAGGCCAACTGTGACTTGCCCAGGGTCACCCAGGTGACCATGGGGCTGGGGGGGTTCCCAGGGCCTGCCTCCTGCTGGAGGCCCCTGCAACAAGGCCACATTGCTTCCCCTTATGCCAACCATACAGTTAGGACAGGAGAGGATGACTGAGATGCTTTCAACCTTTTGGATTCCAAGCACACAGGATGATTCTTCTGTCGTCAGGGTTGGTTTTGATGGTGTCAATCACCTTTTGCAGTTGGTCTACTCCTTGATGGGAATAATCTGTAGAATTATTGAAAAGAGAAGATGTGCATATGTAAATTACATCATCTGGTGAGATGGCCTCACAGGTCATCTGTCATACTGTCGTTTCGCAGCCCCGCCTTGGCTCATGGATTCAAGAAATCCAAATGCACTTGGTAAATTTCTCAGGTTATGTTGAGTTCAAGGCCTGGTCTAGGCTCCTAGGTCTATCCTCTGGAGCCATAACAAAGTCTATTTTCTTTTCTATGTAAAAATCCTTTAAGTATTTGGTTGGTCACGTTACTTCCTCCCCCCCTGCCCCCCAATTTCAACACTCCACTCCCCGCTCTCCTTAGCCCCTGGCAACCACCATTCTGTCTCTGTGAATGTGCCTATTCCAGGTCTACACAGCACTTTAAAACTTAATGAAGTTGCCAGCATTCAAAAGACCTCAGGATTGCACATAAAATACAGATTTTAGGTTTTTATTGAAGAATTCTGACACTATCAGGCCCACATCTCTCTAACTGGCGGGAGATGAGCTGTCACTGCCCCTTTAGATGAGACTCATGCTCTCCAGATTGCGGGTCTCTGCCCAGCTAGCAAACTGTTACTTCCTGCACACACGCCTGTGTACACACACACACTGAGGGACACATTTGCTTTTATAACCTCTGACCTAAAGATAAGTGGGCCCGAGGGGCAAAGGACCGGGGCTGGACTCGGTAAGTAGTGCCACCATGTGACAGAGGAAGGTGGACTCAGGAGTGAGATGTTTCCCCTTTCTCCACCCAGCAGGATGGGGAGGAGAGGTGACTCAGGATATGAGCTATCACATCAGGGCCACTTGCAATGTGATGAAAAGAAAGGGAACCCAAAGCGTAAGTAGTGCCACCATGTGACAGAGGAAGGTGGACTCCAGGAGTGAGATGTTTCCCCTTTCTCCACTCAGCAGGATGGGGAGGAGAGGTGACTCGGGATATGAGCTATCACATCAGGGCCGCTTGCAATGTGATGAAAAGAAAGGGAAACCAAAGTCTCTGCAAGGCCAGCTCTGGGAGGTCAGCCCCCCAGATGAGCTTCCTACCTTACTCCCCAACACAGTGACCAACTGTGCCACTATTTGCTAAGGAAACAAGGTACAGGAAGTGCCAAGCACCCAATAATGCTAATCACTGGGAGTGTGATCTAACCTTCATGAGGTGTGGTCGCCGCTCCTGAACCCGAAACAGCCTCCCACAAGGTTAGTTACGCATCAGCCCCCCAGACCCTGGCTTATCCCCAACACTTCATCTGAAACTGTGGAGCTACGACATGGAGCTACGACGGCGCTCAGGGATCCGGGGCAGCACTGTCTCCTCACCTGAATCCATATCTTTGTAGTCTGCCCCAAAATGCCTCCACTGAAAGCCATAAACGGGGCCTAAATCTCCTTCTTTCCTGCTGGAGAATCCCAGGTTGTCCAGGAAGTCACGGGACCCATTGGCGTCCCAGATTCTCACTCCCTTGGACGACAGTTCTTTAGCATTTGTGGATCCCTGGAAGAGAGGGGAGGGGAGAGCAGAGCAGGTGAATTCACTCACCCAGGAACCTTCAGAGCCATCGGGACTCATCCTCTAAGAGCCCCCACCACGCCGGCAACAGGCCCTCTACAGTCCCTGCACAGCCTGTCCCACCTTTAAGCAGGCTGGTCCCAGCCCAAACTTTGAAGGGCCTGCTGGTCAATCTGATCCTTCTCTGGACCACCCTCTCAAATCTTTCTTTTCCTGTTCCCCTTAACTAAATTTCCTCGACTGAACACATCCAAGTCCTTTAATTATATTCCTACCCCATCTAGCAGTTTTGTGTTTCTTCACCAAACGTGTTCTGTGTCAAAGTGTGATACCCCGAATGAATGTAATGCCTCACCTACAATCTGTTGGGAGCACCTCAGATCTGGTGTATAGAATATTTCTACTGATTGGCCTAATCAGCACTAGCTTTTCTAGCAAGTGGATCTGTCACATACCTTAAACGTGCCACTCCCAAGTTCTGTTTACCCCAACTTATACTCGCACAGTTAAGGTGCAGTTGGTTGGTTTTTGCCAAGTACAAGCCTTATGTTTATTTCTCTGATACTTTGTCTTATTAGATTTGGCCCTCGGCATCCTAGCCTGGATCCTGAGTGTGCGTCCAGGTCAAGGACAGACCTCCGCTGGCCTGTGGTGTCTTCGGGCCTGATGTGCCAGAATGGTTACTAGCAAGGCTACGTTGCCACACAACCTTGGCTCTGCGCCTATCCTCTCACTTCCCTTTTTTACCTTGATGAACCACAGCAACTCCTCCAGGACACCCTTCCAGAACACACGCTTGGTTGTCAGCAGAGGAAACTCATCTGAAAAACAGTTTGCCTTATAATTTCAAGATGGGAAAAGAGCACATGCCATCCAACTTTCTCTATGGAAGAAAACTATCCCAGGACATTAGGCCTGGAGTGACCTGGAAAACTGCGACTCCCGGCAGAGTGGGCGCCCGGGATCAGGGTGGAGCTCCCAGGGTGCAGTGCAAGTCACACAATTCAGACAGAGGCCACCCTCCTGAGCCCTGCATCCACCAGACACAGCAGTTCCACACAGTGAGCTGGGGCAGGGGCCAGACCGGGATGCTGCGGGAACAGGGAAAGAGCAACCATCCGCACCGTTAGTGAAGACAACAGGACAGAGCTGAAGGCTCCCAGGACTATTCCATGATTAACCTGCTGAGGAAAGCTTGTTCAGGACCCACGGAAAGTAGATATCACACTGGCCAATACCGAAGAGTCGTTTTTTTAGAGGTTTGCAAAGCAAATCAACCTCTAGGTTTTAAGTGTACCCAAAATGGTACTGTTTAAACACTTTATATACATGATCCTATTTCATCTCCAACCCTCCTTAAGGCACCTGTATGATCTCCACTCTACAGTCCCCAGGAGGGAATATAGAAGTTTGCATCAAGAAATAGAAAAATACAAATGTAAAGCTTATCTCTATTCAGTTGTGTAGTTGATATTCATGTAACAAGGATACATTTTTCAAGCACCTACTGTTATTATTTCCTCCATTTCAAGTGCATGGGGAAGCTGAAGACCTGAGAGGTTAAGTAAGCAACTTGCCCCAAGTGTAAGAAGAGCTGGAGCAGAAACTAGGTCTGCGGCTCATTCGAGTCCACTGCTCGTGGAGCTGCAGGATCCCTCCGCTCAACCAAACTCTCAAAGCTGTCCGAGGCAGGGCCGATATTTTCCACTGCAGACGGGAATTTTCCAGTTTGCAGAATGGGTGTGGGGTGCAGAGTTTCACATGTGACCACTGCGGATCTGCATGGCCTACAGCGGGTCTCCCCCTTCAAACCACCCTCCACACCAGTGTCGGGGAGACGTGTCCCGCGCCCACCCCCACCCTTTGTCTCCCGAAAGCCAACAAGAGACACTTTTCCCCAGGAACCATCCTCTTTCAAAGTCCAAGACAAATAGGAACTTCTACTCGGACCATCGAGTTCGTTTCAAGGTTCACTAGTACGAGGAGCGAATGCGGGTGCGCGGGGCCGGACGGGAACACTGCCAGGAGCCATACGTTAACTCCTTTCCCGCCACCGTTGCCCCGCCCACAACATTTTGGCTCCAATTTTGAAAAATTTTGCGAAGCGCAACGGTCTGCACGGGGAGGGGAGTGGCGCCCAGTGGGAAGCCTGGCCCAGCCTCGGGCCAAGCCCGGGCAGACCCTCTCCCACTCCGGTTCGGGGCAAAACTCCTGGGTCCGGCCCGCTTTCGGGGAGACCACATGGCGAGACGTCAGGCACCCGGCCTTGGAGCCAGAGGCCTCCGGGCTTTACTCCCCGGCGCCGTCCCGCCCCTCCTGCGACCCCACGCACATCTGCCCTAGACCCCAAGCCCCAGTGTCGGCGTCTGGCCCGGGGGACTCAGGACACCGCTCCGTCTCCCGGGA